AGTGTGTGTGTGTGTGTGTGTGTGTGTGTGTGTGTGTGTGTGTGTGTGTGTGTGTGTGTGTGTGTGTGTGTGTGTGTGTGTGTGTGTTCTTACCAGGGCCCCACTGCTGAGCAGGATCATGAAGATGATCAGGGTTTCAAACCAGTTGTGTTCCACTATCAGGTAGCAGGTCTTCCTCAGGAACCACCAGTACTTCCCCCACCCGTGAGTAATGGGAACATCACAGCACTTATATTTGGCCACACACTCTGCATGCCAAATGAAAACACGACTGTTGATATACATCATGGATTGAACTGTGAATAAGCTGTCATTAACACAGTACACCGATAACATATTGTGTGGGCTTGTTGTTATTACTAACCAAAAAGTTAAAAATTAATCACCACTTACCATCTGTCCAGCAGGCTTCTGGGTCAAGATACTCCTCCACAACCTCCACCACTGCCACCTCCTCCACATCAGGCTTGATGTCTATTGTGCTGCCCTCAGACGAGCTGGTGTCATCCAGCTAGGACAAAGAGATCAGTTCAACCTCTTAGTTTCTCTCTGAATGTTATAGGTTCGGCAGTGAGATGCTGAAAGCGTACAATATGTATAAGGCACAGTGCCAGTGAAGCCATTACATTAATGCATCCTTTGGGTTTATATGCATGACATGATTTATAAATGGAGGTATACACGTTACAGCCATGTAGCGCAGTTATTAAAAGTCATGTTAGTCACTAGAGATAATCAGTAATTCTTTGAATTGTTAATAATAGTCATTATACGGTGGCCCTGAGAGGTCAAATGCATTGAAAACACCAGCAAACAGCAAACACTCAAAACAGAACCTAAGTAGAAAAAAAACAAAACCTCACAAAACACAATGGAGGGATTGCACTGGCACACATTTGAAAGAATCGGGGGATTTATCTGTGTTGTGAGGGAAAAGAGGATGTAAGGTAATGTGTGTTTTAATCGCACGATTCATTCAATACTTTAGATACACGTTTGATATTAGTCGTTTACTGTTAACTCGACAAAAACACTCACAAACACTCAGGACAGTTCAGTTCACTGAAGAGTGAATGCACATCAACATTCACCCCTTCGTCCCCTGTTTCCACCATTTTTTTAAAATTCTTTTTACAAAATAGCCATCATGCTTTTCTGACTGGCTTTCGCGCTGCAGCGTGCCCTCTGGCCAGCTGCAGCGCTGGGTAGATTTTTGTGGTTGAGGAAGCTCAGTAGAATATAAACCTGATGCAGGTAGAGTAGTGATTCAGCTGCATTATCTCCTTTCTTCCTACAACAAACTAGGTCAAGGTGACCCACCCATCAGACTTCTCCACACACTTTGGGTCTGGCTATCCTTCTCCTCCATTTATACTGTACAGTAGACTGTGACTCTGCTTCTCTGTCATCTCACCAGGGCAGTCTGTTGTCTGCCTGCTGTTCTTGGCTGTCTGCAGGGTCAGCACTCAGGCTCAGTGTTACAGCGCTCCTGTCTAAATGGATGTTCTTAAATGTCAGTTAAACTAAGTCTCTCCAGTGTGGCAACTCAGATGAGTTCCACTTACTGCATATTGCACGATATACTCAACTTTATTCTGTTTACTGCACTATTGCATTGCTTCCTACCATGTTATATTTAGCAACCTCATCACCTCTGACATCAAAACAATAATTTACTAAAACTACCTGCAAAGCAAGGGCAGATGATACTCACATCTTTGCTGTTTTCCACATCGGATTCACTGCTGAAATCTTCAGTATTAAGGTTTTCAAAGTCAGACTCGCCAACAGCGATTGGAACGCAGACAGTGAGGTTTGGGTTGTGGATGAAGGACATGTAGTCGTCATCAATCATGTACTTTCCCACGCTGCTCCCAATTCCGCTGGTGGTCCCATTGCCATTTTTAGCATAGTCCAGTCCTCGATTGATATCCACTGTGTGATTTGCAATGCAGTTGAGCTTCTTCTCATACATTTCATCCAAAGGCTTCTGTTCGTCTTCGACAGGCTGCTTGTCATAGTGATAAAACAACCAATGAAAAAAGCGCTATTACAAAACAAACTGCCATCAAATAGGAGTCTGACACAAAACAATGTTATTTAAACAAGGAGGTGTATAAATGTTCAATTATATGGTACCTTCTTTAGCATTGTGGCTACAAAAACCCGCATGTTTGCCTTGAACCAGGCAATCCCCAGCTTAATGCGAGCAACCGCGAGCTGGAGGTTGTTGGGCTCACCATCATCATCGGTGGCAGCAAGGTTGTCTGCACTGAATGAGCTCAGCAGCAGGGCCAGAAACAGGTTCAGCACCTCAAAGGGAAAATAGACAGAAGCTCTCATTTTAGCACTCACAATATACAGCGCTGGAAAAAAACATTTGCCACCTTTGGATTTCTCTTTTTTTTGCATATTTTTCACACGTGTTTCAGATCATCATAGAAATTTCAATTTTAAAAAAACCCCAGAGTAAACACAAAATGCATTTTTTAAATATAAACTGATTTTATTTAAGGAAAAAGTTGATGTGAAAAAGCTATTGCCACCTAAGGCTAACAACTGATTGTACCGTAGTTGGTGGTAAGAACTGCAATGGAGCATTTGTGACTGACAATGAGGCTTTCACATTTCACATCTTTTCTTTAAATTTAGCCAGACTGGAGGGTTTCTGAAAATCCTGTTAAACCAGCCTGTTTAAGATCGTGCTAAGGCATCACAATGAGATTTAACTCCTGACTTTGACTAGGCACTCCAAAATGAGGTGGACTTTCTGGTGTGCTTTGGATAATTGTCTTGCTTCTTAAGTGTACTTGTACTTGATGGCACAAGCTGATAGGCAGACATTCTCCGTCAGGAATTTCTCGAAGAGAACAGAATTCATGGTTCCATCACTTACGGAAAATCACCATGAAGCAGCAAAACAGTCCCAAACCATCACACTACCACCACCATGTTTGACTGTTGGTATGATGTTCTTTTTATGAAATATTGTGTCAGTTTTACATCAGATGGAACAGCACTTGAACCTTCCGAAAAGTTCAGGTTTTGTCTCATCGGCCGCAGAATATTTTTCCAGTCTTTGGGATCATCAAGATGTTTTTAGGCAAATTTGAGACGAGAATTTGAGGTTCATTTTGGTCAGCAGTGGTTTTCTCCTTGGAACTGTGTCAATGCAATTTTTGCCCAGTGTGTTTCTTATTGTTGATCATGAACTCTGACCTTAACTGAGACAACTGAGGTCTGCAGTTCTTTAGATATTGTTCTGGGTTCTTCTGTGACGTCCTGGATGACTCCTGGGAAAGTTCACCACTGTTCCAAGTTGTCTCTGTTTATGGATAATGTCTCTCGCTGTGGTCAACTGGAGTTCCCAAAGCCTTAGAAATGGCTTTGTAACACTTTCCTGACTGATAGATGTCAGTGACTTTGTTTCTCAGCTATTTCTTTAGACTGCGGCATGATGTGTTGCTTTCTGAGATCTTTTAGCCTACTTCACTTTGTCAGACAACTTCTATTTAAGTGATTTCTTGATTTAACTGGTCTGGGTTGGCTGTAACTCAGCTTTCCAAAAACTGTGTTTTGACAAGGAGAGTAATTACTTTTTTAGACAAGGGGCAGGTAGGTTTGGATATTATTTTCTTTAATAAATGAAATCATCATAAAAACACCATTTTGTATATACTATCTTTGTCTAATATTGTTAGATAATCTGAAAATTGTAAGTGTGACAAATATGCAAAAAACAAAGAAATCATGAAAACTGCAAATACTTTTTCACAGCAATGTATCTATTAAACTTCAATGGATTACTATAATTCAGGAGCCTGTACACTATGTAATGTCTGTCTTTGCTTACCACTAGGTTACCAATCACCATGACCATCATGAAGACCGTTAGACACATTGTCTGTCCTGCCACCTCCATACAGTCCCACATGGTCTCAATCCATTCCCCACACAACACTCTGAACACAATTAGGAAGGAGTGGAAGAAGTCGTGCATGTGCCAGCGTGGCAGCTCGCAGCTTTCTGCAATCTTACACACACAGTCTTTATAGCTTTTGCCAAATAGCTGCATTCCCACCACGGCAAAGATGAAGACAATGATGGCCAACACCAGGGTTAGATTACCCAGAGCTCCCACTGAGTTGCCAATGATCTTGATCAGCATGTTGAGTGTTGGCCATGATTTGGCCAATTTAAACACTCTCAACTACAAGAGAAGCACAAAACAAACGAACAGGGTTAATTATAGTTTTTCATATCTACAAAACACAACCTGATGTAATATCTACAGAAGCCAGGCTTAACGTCAGCCTTGATCTGATGATCAGTAAGAAAGAGAGCTGCACAAATTTTACCTGATACTAGCTTGTACATTAAGGCCACAAAAGGTCAAATCAAATGTCTCTTATTTTCCACGTACCAATCGGAAAGACCTGAGCACTGACAGGCCTTCCACATCAGCCAGTCCCAGCTCGACTAAACTCAGAGTCACAATGAAGCCATCGAAGCAGTTCCAGCCTTCCTGGAAGTAATAGTAGGGATCCATGGCAATTAGCTTGGCAAACATCTCCCCAGCAAAGATGCCAGTGAAAACCTAAAGACCCACACAGAGAAAAACATGAAGAATATGTTAATATGTTTCCTCGGGAAACAGGATAAAGAGGCATGCTTAGATTGCATTTGAAGCATTTCTTGTTAAAAAATTAACAAGGATATGTTTCAGCAGAATTCGTAATTAACTATATTACTCGTTGCTTTGTATTGTCCTTCTGCTAACCATGTGTCCAGTTAGTGCTGCAGAGAACACCCAGTGATTCACACTGCACCATCCATCATACTGCGCAGATTCCTCTGAGTTCAGTTCCTGGACTGCATGCCAATGCCTATGACCTCATTTCCTGTCTTAATATCTGACACCCTGCCAGTATTTCTGCCCTCAGACAGCTGTGCGACAGTGATATCTGGTAGCACAGACAGAGTACAGACAAACCAGAATGTCTGCGACAGATCTTGTTAATATATACTTGGTCAAATCAGTGTTGAACAGGCTTATGTCTGTATGGAAGCAGCTGAGAGCAAGTTAAGGGTTCAGCAGACTTGAAGGAAGCAAGATGCAACGGATGAAGAGTGAGTGGACGTAATAAAAGTTTGGCAGGCAAGCCTAGTTGGCTACATTAAAATGGTACTAAATCTTTAATGAGACCCCATCAGATTCCTGTATACGGTATGTGTATATATTCTTAAGTGCACATATCAAATGAAGCTTTGATGAGTTGGCTTGAGGTAATTGAGGCACACAATACACCTACGACATTTCTGTACCTCCTGAGAGACATACTGAGCATGTAGTCATAAAACAACAACAAAAACGAATGGAAACAGTAAGAAAAAAGACTAAATAAAGACTGACTGCAGCTTCTTACCAGGTTTCCAACAGACAGGACTTCTTCAAAATGTGGAGTCATTGGGTAGTGCTCCATGGCCATGAAAAGGGTGTTGAGAACAATACAGATGGTGATGGCCAGGTCAACAAAGGGGTCCATGACAATCAAGTAGACTATGTGCTTGAGTTTTAGCCACATGGGACAGCATTCCCAGATGAGAAAGACGTTAGCAAACTTGTACCAGCAGGGAGGACACTTTCTTTGAGACTCCTCCAATTCTGCACAAAGAGATGGAAGAAAAGGGGGGACGTGAAATGTTTAACATTTAGTTATTTAAGTGACATTATGTGCTGTAACATCTAGACTCCTGAACACCTCACTTATGTGATAATTACATGCAACTTATGGGCATATACTAACAAGTTGCAACAACAGCTGTCACTTAGTTGATACCGAGGAAAACTGATGTTGTTTTTACTTGTGCATTTTCATGTCCTCAACGTATTTTAGCACTAAGAGCTAATCTGACAATTAACAGCACAGGATTAGAAAGAACAAGAGAAACATATAAACTCTCTGTACCCTCTATCAGAGTGTTGGTGACTACACTCATTTGACTGTTGGCACGGTCCTTCCCTTTGAAGGAGGAGTTGAGCTGATCCACAGACACCATGAGAGAGCCAGAGTGCTTCTTCTTAATCTCAACGTCTGTAGTCTGTACTCAGAGAAAGACATGATGTCACGGTCATTACATGAATCTAAACAGACATTCAACCTCGTGCTCCACAGCTATCTAAATTCAATTCAATTCAATTTTATTTATATAGCGCCAAATTACAACAGCAGTTGCCACAAGATGCAACTTGATCCATCTAAATCATGAAAGAGATCTGAGGTCTGCTCACAAGGCAAAAGAACTGTCGCTTTAGTATCAAATAATGTACTGATATTCTACATTTTCCAGAAAATATAATCAAATACATTTCAAGTTCTTACTGTAAATTCTCAAATAGGTGCCTTAAATTAGCACAACCAGGTAAAGAACCAGGGTTTATTTAAAACTTTTTTTTGAAAGAGGGCTCAATTTCAATTCCTCTTTTTTCCATTATGACTTAATCTGATTTGAGGTATTTTTACTTTTGAGAATTTAAGGTAGCACATTCTAATTTTGCCATCATTTACTGTGCATGACAAAAATACAATCCCTAAGAAACAGTAAAATGCATGCAGTGGCATGCATGTCAACAAGAGTGGAAGACATCAAGACATCATTTGGTGACACATCATGCTAAACTTTAGAGAAGGTAAAAAGCAGGTAGATTGGTTGACAATAAAAGAGGGTTCAACCATGCTAGCTAGAATGACAAGAGACATTTATTACAGGAAAAAAAAGGTTTCATATTTGTCGTTGCATCATCCATTTCTCAGAAGCAGAGGATAAATGAGGGCAAGGAGGAAAGAGAAGGCAGCAGAGGGAAAGTGAGGCTGAAAGGAAGAAGAAGAAAAAAGAACTCCAGATAAGAACAGTGATAGAAAATAGTATGTGTCCAGATGTACAAAGCCCTCAAGAATGAGGAAGTAGAAGTAAAGAATGAAAAGAATTTCATATAATAATGATTTTTTTCTCAGTGATTGAACTGTTAGGGCAACTCGAAAGGGCTGATCTCATTACGCATTACTGTTAGTGAAGTAATGGTGATGATTCTGGCAAGGGAGTGAGTTTGCGGATGTTCTTTCAACTGGTTAGTGACTTCTAGTGCTGCTAAAAAAAGAAGTGAAAAGGCATTAGATCAGGCTGGAAGTCTAAGAGTCAGTGTATGGTGAAAAAATAAAACAGATTCTGTGTACTCAGGGAGTGGAAAAAAGGAGATACTGGGTTTAGGGAAAAGAGGAACAAGAGGCAGGGGAAGAGGTTGTGAAGGAGAAGCTGCAGAAACCCGGGCCACCAACATCATGCCTAAACTGTATTAGGTGTCCCATGGACGTCCTTACACTGTCATCAGTGGCTGCCTTATCTATTTTCACCTCAGGCAGAAGCCGTCTGCCGGGCCCAGGGCCGATGAGAGACACCACGCCATTGCAGTCCACTGTGCTGTTCCTCTTCCCTCCAGGGTGGGGTGCCAGCGGATGGATGCGTGATGAGCCCTGGCTGTTGCCACTGTAGCTGTTGCGACGGTAAGGTATAAACAGGGATCCTCTACGGTCTTCGCTCTCCTCTACTGTACTGTGCTCGTCGTCTGCAAATTCATTCTCTGAGCCCATGTCCTTGGAACGGCCTTTGAAGCTGAAGATGCTGCTGCGGCTGTTGTGGCGCGACATGAAGGGTGAGCCTGGGATGCTGAGTAGTGACTGAAAGAGGAGAGATAAATGAGGACAGGGAGAATTAAGGAGTTATTTAAAACAGCAGGAGTTAGTTGATGTGTACAGGTGGGGTATATAAAACAAGAATAAATCAGAGGAAGGGAACTAAAAAGAAATGAGAAACAGGCAGTAGGCACAAAATATAACCATAATATATTTAAAACATGTTATATTGCTTTTCAAGAAGAACTGCATTGCTCCAAAAAAATAACATTACAGTGTGTAAAATCTCACCACTCAGTAGCAGGAGATTGATGACTGCGGCACAGTGTAAGTTGTTAAGCTCTGCTGTTTTTGCCGCTGTTAGCTGTCGTTAGCCTCTGTTAGCCACTGTTATTGTAACTTTCCTTGAAGTGGAATCCTTGTTAGATTCAGACACTTATCGAATAAACTAGTAAAACGTGAGAATGTAATTGAATTGTTTATCAATGAGAAAGTGTGATTTTTAGGACCCTTGAGTCTAACATTAGCAGGCATAATGTTAGCTCAGAACTAGCTGCTCTTGTTATTTAGCCAGCTCGTCAGCTGTATGGAACTTGGAAGGTTATATGTTTAAGCTGCTGACAATAAGAATAAGACGATAACATTTTACCTAGATGCTGGTCCCATTTTTTTCTATTCAGTTCAATTTTATTTATAGTGCACCAAATCACAACGACAGTAGCCTCAAGACACCTTCTATTGTAAAGTAAACCCTGCATCACATTTCCGCCTCTTTGGTGAAGGGGATCACTTCTCAGATGATAAACATAGAAATGATCCTTCATATCTTGAGGCTGTAGACACATATTAAATTTTTCTGCACCACGCCACATATGTGGCAAATAGGCAAAACAGTGATGTTCATCTCGGTCCATTTTTTTCCTACTAAAAAAATTAATTTAAAAAAACGATTATCTGTATCTTAAAAGTCACACTTAAATGACACATTAGATCTTAATAAGTGAAGTATTAATGTTGAAAATCTTCAGCATTACACATTGTGGTGTTCATTGAGAAAAAACTATGTAACAATGTTTAACGAAAGAAAAGCTCACTGCAAGCTTTTGGGTTATTTTGATTATTATTTTGTTCTATCCTGTCTGCAACTGCAATGCAGGGAAAGATAAAGTAATACAAATACGTACAAGCACAAATAAAGTACAGAGGACTGGCCAACAAATGTAGACAAAGTAGTAAGAAACCAAAGTCTCAAAAGGTCCTGCAATGAGTGAAAGAAGAGTAGGAAAACTGCCTGTATGACAACTGAAGTGGCAGGAAGAGTCCCAAGAGGGCTGTGGCTCAAGAGAGGCTGATACAGCTGATACCACAACGAGGTCACTGCTTAAACCACCAAGTGCAGGAAGAAGCTGAATCATCACATCCACCCAAGCTCTGGATGGGCACACATATGCTTCTTGGATCCCCATACAAATCCTGGCCACTGCAATTCCTTAAATGGCCACAAGAGACTGGCTACAAAAGTAACTCAATCCCCCTATACCCACATGTTAAAATGTCCAACTTTATAGCAAAAATAAAATAAAAACTCACCCATTTTAATTTTAAGGCTTAAAGTTATACATTATTATAGGAATGGCTGTTTTGAATGACAGATAGATTTTACTAGGTGTAAGTGCAAGTAATTGTAGTCAATAAACTTAACATGTGGGGGCTCTGTTGGTGCCTTTTGCATCTGGGTAGCTGTGATTCAAGAGTAAGAACAGGTACAGTGACTCATCCAACAGATCCCAGCTCCTTCGGTCTGTATGTTAAAGTGATGTAGCCATGGTTGTGTGTGTGTGTGTGTGTGTGTGTGTGTGTGTGTGTGTGTGTGTGTGTGTGTGTGTGTGTGACAGCCCAGATTTTTGGGCTGCTCATTCAGGAAACAATAAAAAGGATTACAAAGTTTAACAGATAAGCAGGTAGTTAACTCGCAAGTTTCCTTCTAAAGATGATATACCATGTTCTAAAAAACAAAAACGTACTGCTCTCCTATCAGTTCAGACACACATGAAGACAGAAAACTAAACAGCAGTAATGTCTGTAGGATTATTGAAGTTGGGCTAACTGTCATATAAAGATTTGCTACCTGGTGGCTAAAAACAGAGCTATGGTTAGAATAATGTAAACACTTTAGCACAGTGAAGCTGGAGGATGAGCATTAATGTTTTTACTTCGATTTAGAAGGCCACAACACCACTAGTGACATCACAGCATCCACAGCCATCTTTTATATACAGTCTATGGGGTCATTGCTGAAGCTCTCGAGTTTACAGCTTTTCTCGCTAACTTTACCTGGTTCATAATGGACGTCTTCCTTCCCAGTCGACTCCCTGGGAATCGAATGGTGCTTTTCTTGCTGCCATCATCTGACTCGGACTTAACCACCTTCTCACTGTCTCCTTTCTCTTTCTCCTGCTCTTTTTGTCGCCATTTCTTTTTGCGATTGCGACGCTCTTTTGCACTCTTGGAGCTCAGCTTGGAGACCTCCGAGGAGCTGCGGGACAAGTGCCCCCCACCTTCATCTTCTAACGCAGCCTCTGACACAGTACCAGCAGATGTCGCCATGGCAGCAGCCTGAGAGAAAAAAAAGACATGATAACCTAAAACTATGAAAAATGCATATTGGTGTATGTATATTAGAGAGTATGACAGACCTGAGTCTCTTCTTGTTGCTTCTTGAGCTGTTCGAGCATGGCTTTGAATTCTGCCTCTTTCTGCTGTGCCTCTTCAATCGTGGCTTGGTTCTGCTCCTCATAGGCCATGGCCACCACAGCCAAGATCAGATTCACCAGGTAGAAGGAGCCCACAAAGATGACCAGCACAAAGAAGATCATGTACGTCTTCCCTGCAGCTCGAAGAGTCTCACAGAAAACACAGACATAGCATAAAAGTGAATGAATCAGTAATTTATCATGCATGATTAAGACTAAAATGAAACAAGTAATGATAAAATATAACTGAAATCCTCCTTGGTGCACAGTTATTTTAATGTTTATGGATTTTTTCTGCTGGATTTTAGTATGCACTCTATATTGTGTGCTATGTCAGCATTTCTGATGTTTCGACAGTCCGAAGACCTTCTCCGGGAAAACGTCCATACTGAAACGATGCCTTATAGTCTGCGCACACATACACATACACACACTACAACACAAACCTATTTTGCCAAAAAAGGAGAAGCTATTATGCTTGTGATGGTGATGGTCTACAGAAGCAGGAAATATTCCAGCTCACAGTCATGGTAGTGCAGCTACCTTAACAGATTTTGGTGCACATACTGAATTTGCACATGCATTTGTGTCCCTAAAAGCATCAAAAAGTGCTGAATCATTCAGACATCCATGCTAATCTGATGATTCATATATATTTTTTATGATGAAGTGTGCTGCTTGAGGGAGAGGTAGCTACTGGGCACTGAGAGGCTTTAATAAAACAAGTCTTTACCAGCATGTAGAGATTTTCCCAGAAGTCTTGGGTCATGAGACGAAAGAGGGTGAGGAAAGCCCATCCAAAGCTATCAAAGCTGGTATAACCGTAGTTCGGGTTCCTTCCAGCTTTCATACATGTAAAACCCTCTGGACATTGTCTGATAGAGGATAACAGAGCAATACCGAAAACCATCATTTAAAAAGTGAATGAAAAGCACCACTTTGACATCGACACAGGTAAGATAACATGCATCCTGATCTACATCCCTGCCCTGGATGCAACGAGATGAAAAATATCTCGTGTGCTTTTTGATTTTCTTTAATCTACACACCCTGTGAATCCATCAGATCAAAATACGATCAAATATCCCCTGGAGATATGCAAGACAGGGCCGTGGTTACACCTCCAAATACAACAATAAGCATATCTAAGCATCAAAAGTTTAACTGGCTGGAGCTCAACAGAAACTTACAGGCATAAAACCACAGCCCAACATATGACAGGTAGCAGTGTTTAGGAGGAATGTGGAGCACTAGCACAAACTAGAAGAAAACAAGAATACATTGATGTCACAAGGAGTAACTGCACTGGAAGAAAGCGTCAACAAGGCCTCGTAATGGCTGTGACTGGAGAAATTAGCTGGGTCATCCCAGGAAAAGGATCTGATGCTGAAATACCCCAAACACCGACTGCCCCCCTGTTAAATTTCTAATAATATTTTAAGATGTGTGGTGGAACAACATGAATATGGCAGACAGCTCCTGTAAACATAGCATAAATATAATTGTGAGGATTTACTGAGCGAAGTACTGGCTTACCCTGAGTCAGAACTATTTCCACATAGCAGAGCATCAAGCTGACCAGGGAGGAAGTAGAAATTAGCTATTTAAAAAAGAGAGAGAGAGAGCAGTCACTTGCATTGGCCACTGGGCAAAGAGTCTGTGTTACCCGAGTGAGTCAGCGTTTCTGTTAATATTTCATCCCTCAGATATCATGACTAAGTCAAAGAATCTCTAATGCTGCATACGCGTCCCAAAGTTTAATCAAGTTTTAAAGTCAACACTTACAGGTGTTCATGATGTATTCACCCCAGTCAAAAGCCCGGCTGCCATTCGGGTACAGAGCCGTCATGTTGATCGGCCAGATCACGCATTTATTCCGCAGGTTCCCCATGAACAGCTGCAGTCCAATCAGAGCGAAGACACTGAGACAGAAGACGGTCAGGATCATCACGTCCGACAGCTTCTTCACAGACTGGATTAGAGCGCCCACAATGGTCTTCAGGCCTGTCGATTAACATATGAATAACACACACACACACACAAATGTGCACAAATTCACACACATGGAAACAGGCACAACTCACACACACATGCACACCGAGATACACATTCAAATACACACACACATAGACACATACACAAAATAAGACACAAATAAAATGTTTTCGCACTAGATGTGTTGGGTTCAGTGTTATAGCTGCACTTCTAAGCTGACTCGAATCATGCATGAAAAGGGTAAATTAGGTAATGTATAAACTAATTCTGTCTTTAACCCTGTGCTGTGCAGATTCTTATATAAAGCTAAACTTGGCAGGCATCGGAGTGATTTCTTAAGAATCTGCACCCGGCTCTGCCAAGTCTCAATACCAGAAATTGACATTCAGAGTGTGTTGTGCAGTCCCTTACAGAATAAAACCAGTGCATAGGCATTGCTTTTCATTGTCATTTCTGCCTCGATGCAAGTGTAAGCCCAAACTCTGATTAATTATTCAGCACTAGCTACTGTATGCTGTGTGTTTGTAATTGAACTATCACTTAACTACGTTTTAACCAAAGTTAATTTTATTTTATTATTTAGTAGAATAAAGTGGCGCATTTTCAAAATAATATGCAAATTAAATTCCTTCATTTTTTTTGTTAAAGCCCTAATTCATCCTTAACAGAAAACCAGTCAGTTTGTGAGATATTTCATCCAGAATCTGTAATAGTCTGCTATCCAAAAAATAAACAGGTACAGGTAGTCCCATAAAGTAACAAAAAAGTGTAGACAGCCATTGTTTGCAGATACATTTATGCACCTTAGACGTAGAAGAACATGCTGTCCTGCTTCTCCACGTCTCCCCTGCCTACATACTAATTTTCTGCCTGTTGACTTCCAGCGTTCCTTGTATTAATTTAGATTAAGACTGCAGGCTGCTCAGCTGACCTAATATAATGAGTGTTTATATTAAGAGAAAAATCTAACATTTATGCAGGTTTTTGCATTTTGAATATTTAGTCATTGATAAGCTTAGCTTTGGCCACTGTATCACCTCTGGCCTGTTCTAGTTAAAGTTTACCGTACCAATACTGAAGTGTACAGCACTGATTTTTCTGTCATAGACTATTAAAAAGAAATCACACTCAATTTCTACAGAGAGCATATGGCACTACGACGAATACTACCACTGTAGGGGATGTTTCCATTAGAAAGGCACACTTTTGTATTTATATTTATATAAAAAGAAGCTGAACAATTTTAATTCTGATGTTATGCATATGATAAAAATCATCTGGTCCTTAGCTATTCTCCAAATTAAAACTTCAGATGGATGAACAACTGACATGACATATTATACTGTGTCATCATTTTTTAACATAAATAAATGCAGAAGCAGTGTGTGAAAAACAGCCAGGTGCTGATTATCAAATGCACCACCTCTATAAAAGCAGATGTTTTGGAATTACGGTATTCTGAAGAATTGAATGCAATGTTCAGAGAAACTGCAAATAACCCAAGAGCTACATTTCAAACTACAGATCTCAGTTAGCATGTAAAATGTTAAGTTCATGTTGGTATAGTCAGAAAAACACTGAACAAGTATGTTTAGGAGGAAAGCCAAGAGAAAGCTTCCTCTCTAAAAAGAACATGAGAACACAACTTAGGTTCACCAATTTCCATCTGAAGAAACTACAAGATGTCTGGAACAATGAGACCAAGGTGGAGATGTTTGGTCATAATGCACAGCATCACACTGGGTGAAACCCAAACAGCATATCACAACAAACACCTCACACCAACTGTGAAGCACGGTGGTGGAGGGGTGATGATTTGGGCTGGTTTTGCAGCAGCACAAGCAAAGCGTAAACTCTTCTGTGTACCAAAATATTCTCAAACGTGAGGCCATTTCTATAGCTATGGCTTGGCTGACATTGAGTCACTGAACAGGACAATGATAAAAAAAAAATGTGGACAAACAAATATCAGTGAACTTTAAGGAACTGAAGCAACGCTGTAAAGAAGGGCGGTCCAAGAGTGGTTTCATCACAACAATGTAAGAGACTGATAATGTCAAACAGGAAATGATGACGTCAAGTTATTGTTGCTCAAAGTGGTTCTATAAGCTGATGAATCATAAGATATATTGTTGACACACTGCTTCTGCACTTTGTCTTAGTTTTTTGTTAAATAAATAATGGACAAAATGTCACGTGTTGTTGTTGATTTTAGGTTGTATTTAAATCATTTTAAGATCTGAAGAGTACCCTAACCCTTTTTCTTATGTCCCAATATGTAAAACCTTAGACTTGAAACTTGGTTTACTTTCTTTTAAAAAAAAATAACAACTGTACACAATGTACACAGTGAGAGCTAAAGAAATACGAAGCTGATTTATCGGAACTGTACAACTGTGTAACTTAGGATCCATGTGAAAAAGACCTAATTTCCTTTAAATCTGTGTGTTCATCTATGGGAACATCCCTGAGTAGCTTTCTTTTATAATTACACTGCATCCAACAAATGAACTGCACACAACAGCACAACAAACAGATAACAGTGGACATAATCAGGCTCAATCGAGGAAGCAGGAAGTGAAGAGGAGAAAGAGAGGACAGGTGAGGAAGAGTACGTGCCTGTAGGTAGGGGGTAAGGGGGCAATGAGAGGTGTCATGCAGGTCATTTAAACGCTAAGGCTGAAGGAAGTGACTATGTCAGCATCACTCGTCTAAAACGTGGTGATGACCTTGCATTAACCGAAGAACCATTTCCATCCCGGGCATCTGTTTTTCTCTCTCATGGTGTTGAAACTTCAAGCTGGTTTTACCACACTAAGTGTTGTACGCTTGGAATTAACATTATTGTACCCTGTCTGTGTATGCTGTATGTGTGAAGCATGTAATGTGCTGCGATGGTGCTTACAGAGTTGTCATAAAAATACAACGGCTGAATGTGATGTATATAAAAATACAGAAATGAGACCTATTGTTTGTTGCCAACATAAAAAGAAAATTAGAGCATATGAAATATTTAGATTACAGTAGTACACTACACTCATGTACAGTTTTTCAAGGTACTTGGAAGGTTACCTTGGAATACTTGTAACAACTCTGTGGATTTAGGCTGTCTCGCTAACTTATGTCAATTTGGAAATCAGGACTTAAGTTTCTTATCACACCAAAGAATAGGAAATGAGTGCAAAGAAATGTAACACATTATAATATTTCTTTATATTTTCTCTTTCACTCCCAGGATGGATAAAGATCTTCAAAAGAGAAAAAAAAGTTTATTTACATCCTGATTAAAATAAAATAAAATAAAATAAAATAAAATAAAATAAAATAAAATAAAATAAAATAAAATAAAATAAAAAGAATAGCCTCTTAAAGCCAAACGTGTAATAGCATGTACTTCAAAGCTTCATGCAGTTGTCAGATTAGGCTTGGCAGTCTTAGGGAATGAAATAGTGTTAAAAACAAATCCCTGCAGTGATAATTTGGATCAAAGAACGTAGTAAAACTGAGCACAGTTGATGTGACAGTTGGTGAAAAAATTCACAATAATTAGTTTGTTCATTTAATCACTTTTAACAACATGCAGAATGGCTTTTAGAGTAAACTTTTCCCTTTAATTTATGCCAGCTCTGGACATTTCTAATTTAATGTGAGGTGCAAGTAGACTGCTAAGCCTATCAAAAATGTATTGCTACCATTTTTGATTATAATAAAAAATAAAAAGTTAAACAACAAAGGAAATAATTCAAAATCAATACCTTCTTTAAAAGTAAAAGAAAGACTAAAATGAAAGAAACAAATAGAGCTAAGAGGTAATGTAAGCTCAGCCTTAGTGTTTAAATGGGAGTCTCACCTGGAATGACAGAAATAGTTTTCAGTGCTCGGAGAACCCTGAACGTTCTCAGCGCCGAGACATTCCCAAGGTCCACAAACTCTGTTATATATCTGTAACAAGGTAGGATGACACACAGAACAGAGCCCCATGACACACAACACACACACACGATAACTACACGCACGTATGCGCAAGAACACGACACCAGCACCACCATCGAAGACCAGGAGGGACACCACGGTGAGAGCAAGAACACCTGTTCAACCAGTGGGAAGAGAACGCAGAGAGAAGAGGAGAGGAGAGGGAGTGGAACAAAACCACACCTAACATCAACCCCGTGGCTCGCCCACCCGCAAACACAAACACCTGGACTCTCTTACCTGGGATAACTGAAATTGTTTTCAAAGCCCTCAGAACCCTGAACGTACGCAGAGCTGACACATTGCCTAGGTTTACAAACTCTGTTATATACCTGCAAGGTGGATCAGATACAGTTACTCAGCAGCCATGCTGACCAGGGGAAAGAAAGAAAGAGGTTAATACAGACTATGTGAATAAGCATCATCAGCAACTGTGATGGAGTGATGTGGATTAGTCATTGTGTTGAAGTGTTTCATTTTAAAAATATCAACACAAATCACACCCAAAAATGCAAAATGCAACAGAAACATATAAAATCCATGATTTATTTATCCAAATAATTAACTGGTAAGGAAAATTTGCTTGGTATAAACTGGATGTATGCAAATCAAGAAAATTTTGTTTTACCTTGTACTGTAAAATTTATATGTAATTAAATTACACTAAAGTGAATATTATTTTGAGTGCATTACAATCAACTTTACTTACAACTTACAATCACTTTAACTGTGAATAAAGCGATAAATGGTTTCATTCTCTCAAATTAACTAACCCCTGTTGCCTTCACACATGCACGACTTGGCAAACAGGAAAAAGGAAAGAAATTCATAATCTATACCCAGGCAAGAGCAAACTGGCAATGAAAAAAGTGTTGATAAGAAACATGCCAGTGTGTAGAATCACAAATAAAACCCCAGTTTAACAATGTTCAAATCATTCTGAGCTTATATGAGTATTTAACATAAAATGTGCGTACTGTACTTTGTTACTATGACTGATAAATTGCACAAAAGTGTCAGATTAAAACTCATATAAGCAAACTGATGTTTGATTTTGATTTTTTTTAATTTGCCTAATTCTAATAATAATTAATAATAACTAATAATTCTGCAGTGGAAATCATTAAATGGGCTCAGGAGCACTTCTGAAAACCTTAACAAAACCTAAAATTTATCAGTGCATAAACAATTTTAATACCATATTATCAACAGCAAAATGCATCCAGAAACTCACTGAGCTCGTTTAAGATGGGCCAGAACAAAATAGCTCAGAAACTAAAGAAGTATGACGGTTGAATAGAAAATGATCAAATAAGGAGCTTATTTCTAAAATGAATGCAGGTACTGTGCTATGAAGTATGAGTACAATATGCCAGAAACTTTCATATGGTAAACATGTTAATGTTTCAACTTTTTAGAAATGTATTGCTGGCATCAGCAGTTAAATTTAAGTTTAGGACCTTTCCCATAACACTTTAAACTCCTTTCTGGGACGAAACTTAAATACGTTATTATGTTAGCTCAGGAAAAAGAGAATAAGATAAAACTAAAGAAAACTAAGGAAAAGAGACTGTCCTTATGTGTTTATTATCAATACGTATGGCAGACTGAAAACTTTTAGGACCCATCCCAACTGAAGTTAAGTCAATTCAATCATTTTAAACGCCTTATAACAGAAAATGTGTTTTTAAGAAGTTTCGAGACTTTTGAAGGATGCACAAACATCTGATTCCAATCTTTCAACTTCTCAAAGTCGCAGTTGTTGGCTGTTCTATGATCAATAAAATATAAACTTTAAATACAAATATAATCTGAGTCAAGATTGCAAAAGAAGACTCAGACAGTGCATATTTATCTGTGCCGTTTTCAAGCTGCGAGTTTTATCTTTCAGATGGGAGGAGTCGTATTTTTGTTGATTACAAATCAATGTGTTCTGAAGTACTTACGCCATTGAAATGACCATGAAGTCCAGCCAGTTCCAAGGGTCTCTGAGAAAGGTGAACCCGTCGATGGCAAAACCTCGGGCAACAATTTTTGTGAGTGACTCAAACGTATAGATACCTGTAAAGGTATACCTTTCAAGGACAAAAAAAAGAAGAGGACAAAAAAGGTGAGGAGAACATCAAATGAGGATATGACTGCTGAGGAGAAGTATGGAGGTGGACTTACTCTACTTGCTTGGACCACTCCGGGGGATCGCTGAATGTCATGAATATGCAGTTGGTCAAAATCGTACACATGATGATCATGCTGAATAGCGTGAGAACACAGTTAAGGAAAGACTGAACAGTTGCGTCCATAATAACTGAAATATGGCTTTAACATTAAAGACAAACTTAAAGAAGAGCAGTCAGCAGGGACATTTAGTCCTTATAGTTCATTAAAATAACTTACAATGAGCTGGCCACTTCAACAGCAAACAGAAAAAATGTTTTCATTCACTATAAGGCAAACAAATCAAATAACTTGAAAGGATATGAATGTATCAAAATTTTAATAGCTATTCGCCTAAATAGATTAAAAGGACTTATGATGTACAAGGAGGGCGTGGCACTGAAGCGGAAGAGTGTTTTCCCCTTGTTTAAGACTATAAACGTCTGAAAAAGAGAGAGAGACAGAGATAGTGAGACAGACAAACCCTACAAACACTTCTATGTCAAATATTCAGTAAACAGTCTGAAGACCTTCATATTATCTTATTGAAAGTATGATGATAGAGCTTACTGAGCTGACCTCTGAATACACTGGTTTCTTCTGTATCTACAAGGCTGATTGTAATACTGGAGTTTATACTGTGCTTCCTGCTTATTGGTTTGTGACTATACGTATTTGGAAATAATTACCCTGCAATGATCTAAGCATACAGGTTAAAAACGGTAATAAAGAGATAAAGGTACATAGAAAGCAGCAGTAAGAGTCTCTACTGACATGGGTGATCATTCACCCAGGAATCAGGGTTACAGTTCTGTCCTTCTTACATCAGACTGGGACTTTGCCCTGGCCAGCTTTTCCCCCTGATAAAAGCTTTGAGCAGCTTCAGGATCAGCAGACAGGCACATGGGAAACTCTCCTTTTCGTGGCCAAATGTCTCTCTTCATCCCAAGTTTAAAGCTCTTACTGGAAGGAGATGGCAAATGCTGTCATCGATCAGGGCAGATCTGCTGACTCTAGGCTCTCAACGACTGCTCCGGTCCCCACCCATAAACAGCACCGGGCCAAGTGGGGCTGGGCACTGGGGTGAGACAGCATTGTGTGTTTGTTTGTGGACGTTTGTGGATGTTTGAGCCCAGTGTTGGACAAAACTATGGGAAGTGACAGTAAGAGGAATTATTTGCAAACAAACACAGGGATACTATGCATTCATAGCTGCAGCTGCTGCAAGCACTTGTTCTTTTTTTCTGTATCTACATGCAATGCAGTTTAGAGATGGTTCACTGACAATTTATAAATGTGTTGTTTGGATGTAAATGTAAGTGAGTTATGAATGTGGACGCTGCCTGGATATTTGTCTTTGTTCACAACAGCCTCTTCTGCGTCTTTATGACATCACTGACAATATCAGCTGCCACTATATGGAGAAAACTGATCATGTTCTTTGTTATGCCCTCACTGAAGAACAGCAATTCTATCCTCTTAGTTCAAAAGCTAATCATTTATATCGCAGTGAGCTTGCATTCATAAAATGTTATGGATGGATATCAATTATCAGTTAGCTCAGTTCATTGAGCTAATCGATATGGAAATAATAATAGTAACAGTAATGATAAGAAGAAGAAGACGAAAAGGACGAGGAATCCTTGTACTTCTGTAGTGATAACCCATATGATAGATGCATTTGGTCTTTAGTAACCACATCACAAATACACACACCGTGAGTTTGGGATATCCACCAGGGGAAAAGAAACGAGGAGGCGACTCAAAGTGTCCTGAATCAAGTGGTGTCCAGAAAACTAATTAAATCAAAAATAGTTCCCTTAGTCTGGCTAAAGACAAAATGTATCCTCTAGATCAGACAACTCCTTACTCTTCCCCTCCTTTTCCCTTTCCTGCTGCTTTTTGTCCATAGATCATAAACACTACTCAAAATATCCTCTTACTTTCTTTTTTTTTTTTTGAAAAATAAAAAGGATTATCTACTTAATGACCACAGAAAAAAGAGGAAATCACAGACTTGTCCAAGTCTTGTCCAAAGGGTAAATCTCTCCCAGAGGTCAAGTGAAGGTTTTCGCTCACCAATACAACATTGGGATGGAAGAACAGGAATATCTCATTAGCAGCATATGCCCACTGTGCAAGACTATGATAGGCTAATCAATGTCAAGAATATTGCGATAGATAAGTCATATGGGTTTACTGATGCTTTTAAAAACCTGAGTCATCATAAAACCTGAGTCTCTATTGTATAGTAATCCATATTGTAGTATGGTATATCTTTACCCATCCCGTTTGCTAAGAATACAGGGTGGAAAGGTGCTGCAATTTATTGAAGCATGAACAAGCAAACATCGAAATATAGTCTATAAGGCAAAAACAGAGCTTGTACAATTTGCCAAGCCTTTTTTGTAATTTAAGCAGTCTTCAGGAATAGTTCTCCAGGCTTCCTCGAGGACATTCAATGCTCGTCTGTGGATGTTGACTGTCTTATTATGTTCTTTGTCAAGATGATCCCACACTCCTTCGGTAATTTTGAGGTCCGAGCTCTGGGGAGGTCAATCCATGAGTGATAGTTTTCTACTGTGTGTGTCTCATTATCTATTCATGTTTTTAATGCACTAGCAGTGTGTCTGTGATTATTTTCAAAGGACTGGACTGAAAATGACAGAAAAGGCAGATGGTATCCACAAAAAAAACCAAAACTACAAGAACGTCTGGCTCCTTAGCAGCACAGAAAAGAGGAGTGGATCAAGATTTTTTCACAGTACTCCAGGTCACCCTCTGCTGCACTGGGAATGCAGAACCTTCCGTAGACTCAATTGTAAAGGCTTTCGAACTACTTTATGAATTGTCTCAGCCTGGAGACAGAAAAATCTACTGTTGACGCAAACTTGGCATGATTACTACAAGGTTCGCAAATGTCAGGCAGTTTCCTTAATTGATCATATAATCAATGAATCGCTGAACCTTATATATAGTGAATGAATGAATTCTTTTAGTAAACGTGTCATTTTTACAGGCTATTTTTGCACATCCTAAGTCATATTCTTAAAAAAAAAAAAGTCGAACTAACGTATGAGTAAAAACATATGAGTAAAAAAAAAGGACAGTCCAACTTTTGTTCCTGATCCCAAAAATGGGAGCAAATCTTTGTGGTCAGATATAAATTATAAGAGTATTTTGTAAACTGGAATTCACTTTTCACAGTTTTTAAAGAATAAAACTAGATGGAAGGACCTGCACAAGAAAACAGGCACACACGTGAAGCATGTCATCGTTAGCAGCCACCATCCTGAGTCCAACCAATGAAATCAGCAGCTGAGTGAATGTGTGAAGGATAACTTTGACTGTTTAAATTCTTCAAAGCGCCTAACTGACAGAACAATTTTCCCTGGTTTAATTAATTTCTTGAACAAACTCTGTAAAGTAGGATCACAGACAGTGAATCAGTTCATCAATATGAAATTAAGGTTTTAGCCTTCACAAAGCATTCCAGCGGGATGAAAATATTTAACATGTAGTGAACAAGTGGTTCAATTGCATCTCTTCAAATGGATAAACATACAATCAAATCGAGTGGCTATAGTAGATAAGTACCAAACAAATGACTGTGCGGCACATAATGATTACTGCAGTCATTCACACAAAGTGCATGAAGGTACAGTGCATACGCTTATCACAATAGCACTGATCTATATTGCTATAAACAAATGAATATGCACACCTTTAAATGCACGACTCAGCAGGTCGGGCTTCATTCTACCAAGCCACCTTTGCTGCAAAGCTGTGGAAATGATAATAACTCTCAACAAAGCACATGCAAGAATCAGGAGACAGAATGCAGCTACAATGGCAGTCTACTTGCAGATGTGTTTGTGTTTGCATGGAGCGGACACATGGAGGTACGGGACACAAGCAAAGAGAGCCAAAGAGAGACAGATAAGAGGATGGAGGGGGAGTGATGCAGAACAGAAAGCCAAAGAGCTGCAGAGATGAGAGAGCCAAACCTGAGATGGATGGGTAGATGGAGGGAGGAGGAGGAGTAGGAGGAATTGGTAGGCATGCAGCAGAGAGAGAAACTTAGAGATGAGAAGAGGAGGAAAGAGAAACAAAGAAAGCTCAATGAAATCTTAAAGGGGAGATTATAGTAAGTAAGTCACAGGGAAGAGGTGGTTTATTTCTCTTAATTACTTCTTTATGAAACTGACAACAATTAAGTCTTTGTGATTAGCACATGTATTAGAAGATGGACATAAAAAATGTATAAAGCAGATCAAACAAAAATGCACAAACGATTACATTAGAATCATTTTTAACCCAAACCAGACAAACATGCAGTTTTTTACCCTTTTAAGATGCTGACCAAACAATAAAGTGGCAAAGTAGATATTATTTCTGTCGTGATCTGGTACACTTTTGCAAGCGAGAACGGTCAAAAACCCAATCTGTAAAGTGTACCTGGTATGGACAAAGTCAATCTAGAATAAATTTATGGAAAAGTAAAAGTATTGTTAGACTTGACAAAGTATTATTTCCATAGCACTTCCTTTATGGCAAACCAGCATCACGAGACATGTTAATTAATTACTAAGTGTCAGCAAATATAGCTCATTCGCTGCCGTCGAAACTCAGTGGACAGACGGTCGCATCTAAATATGAATGACTCAAAGCTAATTCACCTGTATCAGAAAAACTGCGTCATCCCACTTCCTTACCCATATGCTGTGCTGCAAACAAAAACCAAACACTTTCCACCCCTTACCCTACCTTCCCTCTTAATACCAACCTGGCTAGCAGTGAAAGCACATTCAACCCCCCTCCCCTCCCTCTATCCGTTCCTCACTCAGCTCAGAACAGGAGGATGCTGTGTCATCAGAGACTGAGGACTCAGACAGAGCACTAAAGCCTGGGCTTCATTCTAATTTACTACACCGCGAAAGAAAAGAACATGCTAGAGAGGAGGCAGCGGAAAGGAGAGGAGAAAGGGGAGTAAAGGAGATAGACAAACACACTGACAGAGATGATGGGATAGGGACATAATGTAATGGTGTGTGCAGTGCTACATGCTGAGCTTCAGAAGCAACCGCTCTTTTTGCTGTGAGCTCCCCTTGTGCACCCACTAGCAGTTGCTGCCCTGCACAAGCCTGTGCAGACTGGTAGACTGGGTGCTGCTAGAATACGACAGTTACAGAAATGCCACATACAGAAAGCACATCAAGCTTTCAAACTAACAAAACCAGAGCTTCTTTTTCTCCACACAGTACCACTTTAACACTGCATTAAAGTGCTGTGATCAGGTTTCCTGCAGCTGCAGCTGATGGTAACACACACACACGCAAACACACATGAACGCGCTCAGACACACTCATTGACACACAGCGCAGCGGTGAGCGACGGTGGGTTGAGCAGAGGAGACGAGCAGCCCGAAAAGGTGATTGCAGACAGGGGGGGAGGAAGAGGAACTAACTAACTAGAGTAAATTCCATGGTTATGATCAAAGTTAAATACATGAGTGGATTAGGCAGCTCACTGGTACGAAAGATGGTATGATGTTGCTAATTCACCACATAATTAGCTGCGATAAGGGAAGCAAATCGTGACTGAGCAGAATGAAGAGAAATCAAAACCTGTATTGATATGTTCAGAAACACATACTGTATGCAGGAATCAGTGAAGCCAAAGATGGATGGAAGTGTAAAAGTTAAGCACCCATACCTTATTTACCTAATTTAGTGTAAATGTGTTCTTCAGCCATGCAGCATAGTCACATCTGCACCAACAGAGCTGCTCAGAGGATTAAAAAACAAACAAACTAAGGACTGTGGCTGTAAGTCGCCAGTGAGGCATTTTTATATTTCTGAGTGATCTTATTTAGCTTATGCATGTTGACACAGCACATAAATGTACCTGCAGCAATTATACGGTATTATATTGGCTTTTGTACCAACAGAAGAAATATAAGTCTAAAAGACCTCTCGCATGATATTCTGGTCAAAGACCATGTGGAAATACTATGCTATGCTACTTCGTTTGAAGCAGAACCCTGTATACTGATAATGTAGATGTTATCATGTCATCATAACCATTTTAAAGAATACTTCCGCCATGTACCGCAAATCATCTGGACAGTAAGAGCATATAAATACACAGGGGGTTGATTATCATTACACTACTGTTTAAAAGAAAACTCTGCAGGAAGATTTAGATCAATCTGAAAAATTATTCTTGGCCTTTGTAAACATGAAGCAATTATTTTAAGAAAATAGCAAATGAAATATATAAAGACAAATGTTTATTTATTCAAATAATAAATCATTATCAGAAAACATAACAGCTAACGAACAGCTTAACATAAACTGAATCAAGTAAATTTCATTTGACCAGATTTCATTAAATTTAATGTTTCATGTAACAAAATGACATTTTTACACGTTTTGACTTTTTTTTTTTTTTAAGAATGCTGAATATTCCAACTGAATAGCCCTGATTCAGTGGTGTGTATATATATATATATACATATATACACCACTGAATCAGGGCTTTGGCTCAATAGATCAGAAAAGGCACATGTACTTAATAGTTCCATCCAGGCAACGAGGAAGTGCTTCTCGTTGAGATCACGAGTCTTGCTGACTGGGCTTCTGGCGTCTACAGAGCCCACAGATTCTCTTACACATTATCCCTGCTACCACACTGGAGACTGGCTACTCCCCACCTATACACAGCTGAAAGTACTATTGCACACTCCAGCCTTTTTCTCTCCACTCCCTGTCCTCTTCTGCCATCTTCTGCCTTCCACTACTCATTCCTCTTTTCCTAGTATGGAGTGACAGGAATCTCAGCGCCGTGGGTCTCATTAATAAGAAATACATGATTTGGGGGGGAAATATGAGTTTGGAGTTTGGTACAAACGCTGCGTAACAATGATTTTGAGAGAACACTGAGAAAACCTTTGATTTTTTCTGGTTTATCTATTTTAAAATTAAAGAAATGTAATGTTTAACACTAAAATTCAAAAAAGAAATCACACACATATGCTGCGCTGATAAACACAATCCAGTTAGATCCTTTTTTCTCCTCCGCCATCCTGACAGAGCACTTGTTATGTGGGAGTTTGCTTTGTCGTAACAGAATTCAGTTCACAATAGCACTGAAACATGAAGGCAAATTTGTCGTCCCCTCCAGCTGTTACATCATCTTTATTATGCATTAACACATATTATTAATCAACCCTGCAGAAACCCGAGACTAACCGCTGCCCAAGAACTGCATTCCACAGCAGCCCTGCAGTGTTGCACGAGCCAAATGTCCTTCTTCCTCAGCTTTGCTTTCATTGTACAAGTGTAGTAAAAAAAAAACATATATGTAAACTCACAGATATTTTATATTATCAAAGCACACTCTAATGACTGCCTCGAAGCCCCAGTACCATGACTAAAAAATAGTTTTAAAAAGCACTTGATTGCCTCAAGGTCATCTTTGTTATCTCTAGCTCTGTGGTAACAATAATTTGATTTTTCTGCTTGAAGTGATATGAGATCTAAATTTGTTGTTCATTTCAAATCACCTAATGTGTTAAGTTTACAGTGATGGCAGTTGCCCATCAGGGGGTTCAGGACAATGGTTTAATACTATTCAGAGAATTCAAGAGAGTTGGAATCCTTAAACTTGATTTAATATATGTAGTGTTTGTCTGGTAAGAAGAGGACATTTGTTTAGTGGAGTAAGGCTGTATAACAACTTACTTTCTGATTCAGGTAGAACGGGTCCAAATCCTCCAGTGGTGTGGCCACCATTCCATCAGGGATATCGCCGTAGATGAACGGCAGGCTCTTCCCAGCCTCCAGGTCACTGTTGGGCTTGGGCTCATTTTCGTCGGATGTGTCGCGGTGACTGCTGTCTGATCTTGGCTTGGGCGGCTTCTTGTTCTTCTCTTCTTTGATGCGTTTCTCGATATTAGCGAGTGACTCCGGGGTGAATTTCTTGAAGCTGTCAGGTCCTGGGGGTGCAAGAAGGGGTGCGGCCATGTTTTCATCCTGCAGCTATTTCCTCTTTATTTGTTTTCCATCCCAGACATCCAGCTCTGATAGGAAGACAGCGATAAAGGGTGGAAGAGTGAGAACAGATACTCAACAAAGAGAAAAAGAGGGTTAAAAGAAATAAAAAGTGCAAGCATCTAACCATCAGCCTTAATGACTGAGGCACACAGACAGCATTGAATTCCCTTTTGTTCTCACCTCTGTGACCCCAACTTTACATAACAAGGAGACGTGTCAAGTTTTCTCTTCTTGAGTTTATGCACTGTACGTCTGATAGCCTCTCCTTCAAAATATATCTGACATTAAATTCTGCATTTACTTTACATTTTATTTGCAGCTACACAGCGCCTAAAGTAGTGAAGAATAAAATGAAAAACCATAATGTGAAAGTGGTAGCTCTCACTAGAAGAGATATCCAACTCTGCAGCAGCGTATGTGCAGCTTTCAGCTATGGAAATGATATACCCAGATATGGAAAAACTAAGCTATGGTGGAGTTCAAACAGCTCTTGCTGCTAGTAGAAATGTTAAGTGCACACAGGTAAATTCAGCCCTCTTCAGTGCAAAACAAACACACAAGCCAGAAAGCACCAGACATTTTTCATTTCAGTAAAGTCAGACATGAGAACACTGTCACCAAAAGAACTTAATAAACTTAATGCGAGTCAGGGTGGGGTTTCATCCATGATGATAATGTAAATATTCACTGTGCATGATGAGCTGGCTTTAAAATACATTTAGCTTGCCCATAAATCACAGTTTTTGTGATTCAGTGTGACAAATTCATCCACCTGACCCCTACTGTGATACACTTTACAAATGCCACATTCCTGGTATCCGACATCCTGTAACAACAGTTAAATGATTGATTAACTTCATTAATTACTGATTTATAATCATTTAACATTCTTAGGCACAGAACCGTTTCACACAGTAATGCATAAATGATTTTATGAATTGGTCACTGTTATTTAGCCTCTCATACTCTGACTCATTGCTTAAAGGTAAGGTTATAATACTGTCTTCATGCACCCTGAATAGATAGATTTCAGTCTCCAGATGGCTGTGCATGCTCTATAATACACTGTATTAAACAGTCAAGTCAAAAATTCAAACATGAGTGTGTGCAAAACATTTAGGGGAACAATGGCAAGGTTACAGACCTGGGTATAAATCAAAAACGAACTCAAAAGCAATCCACAGGCAGAGAGAGATCCGGCAACCCGGTATCTGAGTATATGTTGGAGAAAAAGAAGGGGAACGAAGTCCGATTTAAGTAACCCAACCACGGCACAACCTCCAAGTCTCCTTCCACCAACGCTACATCAATTGATCCGTCAAGGTGATTCAAACCAGGATGCAATAGCATGACCAGCAGTTCGTGTGCACTCACAGGTAAAGCTGGGACAAATCTAAAACAAACAAAAAAACAAAAAAACAGGCAGTAAAACTGCTCGAAATTTTGCAGATGTCGCTTTTATGATTTCCAGCAAAACTTAAAGTATAACATGAAAAACATTTTTAAAAAGTGCAAAAATAGGACTTTTTCTCGAATTAAAAGCGCCGCTCGGGTCACTCTTACATAATTTGCAGTGAATGCTACCGCACACAGCCGGAGCTAAATTCCGCAGAGCCAACCCGGTCTCGGTTTGATTAAAATCCGCTCAAAGTGAAAATAAGGAATGGATGATAGAAAAGCCCCAAAACTCCGAGAGCCTCAGTTGCCTCCCATTGAAAAAGAGCCGTGACGCTGCGCCCTCTGCGCATAGGAAAGGCATCCAGGCGCACAACGGCCGCACTCCCGGTGAAGAAAAGAGAAGCTTTTGATTCGGCTCTCTCTCTCTCTCTGATGATGACCTGACATGTGATGAAGCTATCAGGACACCGCGGAGACAACTGTGCTCCAGAGTAGGAGGCGTACGGGGCTCTTGCATCAGAGTCACATGGATCGGACAGAACTTCATCCTTCATTTCCTGCAGCGAAGTCTAAACGTTGCCAGCCTCTAAATGCCATCAAAACGAAAGCGTTGCTGAGAAAATAAGCTGCTTGCCAAATATGAAAGGGGGCTCAAGTAACCCCCTCATATCATATACGGGGATGACAGAGCTGACTCTATTTCAGGTAGGCCCGAAGTTTTGATGTCCTGAGTGGGAATTTGATGAGTTGATTATTCATCTGAACTCGTTTGTCCTCAGAGAACAGACGAGGAAAGAGAAACAATTATTACAGAGCTCTTCCCTTCAGGGAGCTGTGCGGTAAAACTGAACACAAATCAAGCACACATCTTCCTATTTCTTAGAGAACTTCTACCCTTTGTGGGATTAAGACCACCCACTCCCTCTTTAATATTCTACGTCTTGCCATGAAAGTGGCCTGGTGATGCTGATATGTAGCCTGTGCAGTCCAGGGTAAAGTCCACTGTTACTGAGGCGCGCCGTTGTTCTATAGGGCCATAGCCTAAAATACTGCAGTGTGGTTTACTGCTGCTATATGGGCTCTGACTCTAGTAGGTCAGTTAAATGCACAAGCTACATCCCGAATACTCATTTCTGGACCGACAAAAATACACACGAAGTCAACACAACCCAGTTCGCCCAGCAGAAAGTGAAATTGGGCTTTTTGCAGAAAATAAACGAAACTAAAATGGCCTTAATGTTACAGCTTAGCCACCGCACCCGTATCTATAGACCTCGGAGATCTATAGACTCCTTGTGATGCAGGTTTACAGAGTACCACCACCGCGGGAAATACTGCACGAAAAGACTAGAAAGGGGTGTCGTGGTCCCCTTTGAGGACTGCCAAACTACAGACGCACCTACCTCTTCCTGCAATACAGTCTCCAAAGAGACTGAAAGAGGGAGGGGGGCACAGAGGTGGAGTGTGGGGGTGGCAGAGGAGGGGGTAAAACTATCAGTTAGCCTAGAAAATAATGGCACAAAGCTGGAAATGCTGGGAGGATGATTTTTTGCCAGGGGCGCATTATTCGCGTAGCCATTGAGAGCACACACCATAGTTGCTGTGGCCACTGACAGAAGTTTGACATGATCTCACTTATATGCGTAGGCTGTGTTTTACATCCCGACACACTGAAATGTCATAGCCTATCATCCAGCGGCGGGCCAACTCCCTTAACAACCTCCCGTCTCCCCTTTTTCTACCACGTCGCATTTCGATGGCTGTTTTTCATTCCATAAATCACATCTTTGCTACTTCTGCCTGCCGCCCCGCTTACATATTAGTCCATGTACTGGCAAGGAGCCCTCCACAGACGCTGGGAAAAGATGCTGAGAGAGGGACCGCTCTGCGGCACTGGGATGCAGTCAGTCGACAAAGTAAGACCGAGATCCATCCCGTGACGTGAAATAAAAGACAAAGCAGAAAAAATAAGGTCTACTTACTTTTTCTCGCATTAACAGAAATCCAGACAGCTGTCACCGAACTGCAGATGTGAGAAAGAGCCGGGAGTAAATGCGGCTGTCGCCATATTGTTGCTGCTATCTTCCTTCCCAGTGCGTGCGGCTACCCTGCATAATTGATGACTCTCAGCAAATTGTTGGGGAGTGTCGGTAAATGCCTCTGGTTTCAATAACGGACGAGAGACCGCAGCGTCGTAAGGAAATGTATTTTTTATTTATTTTTTATTTATTTTTTTATTTTAAAAAAAAAAGGACAGTGTACGCTACTCGTGTAAGATAACTCGTTCGTGTTCTGGTTGGGATTTGTAAGCAGTTAGCAAAATATACCTTAATCTTTAATTTTTGCAAATTAATAAACCAAACCAAAAACAAATAATTTGTTTAATATTACTTTAATGCTTAGATTGCATAGAATTTGGATTCAATACAACTGATTTGTAGAATTAAGTTTAACACGAAATTTGTCACACCTTGTGTCATAAATAAGCAGAGAAAAAACCAGAATTGCTATTTTTTTTTATAAGTTCCTTTCTGGAAAAGCACAGCATCACTGTAAATACAGTCATGTGAGAAAGAAAGTTTGAGTCTGTGCAGTGGCAACTGCTCAGTAACATGATTTGGTAAATAAAAGAGCATCTTAGCATGTTAAAGATGAGCACAACTGTCTACAAATTGTGGAGCAATTTAAGAATAATCTTCTTCAAACATTGTGAACATTTTGAATATCTTATCGTCTATAACACATAATATTGACAAAAGATTCCGAGAATCTGGAGAAATCTCCTTGCACAAAAACACGAGGCCAAAAATCAATATTGGATGCCCATAATCTCCAGGCCCTCAGACAGTACAAGAAGGCATGATCCTGCCATTGAAATCACTGCACAGCCTCAAGAACACATCCAGAAATCACTGTGACCACAGTTTGCTGTCTCATCCACAAATGCAGGCTAAAGCTTCACCGTGTAAGGAAGAAACCATAAGTGAACATGACACAGAAATGCCATAATTTTCTCTGGACCAAAGCTAATTTAAAAAGGACTGATGTGAGGTGTAAAACTGTTCCTTGGTAAGACAAATCAAAACTTGAAAATCTCCTTTGGAGAAACTGAAGACGAGACAGGAGAGAAGAGAGGAGGACTATCCAGTTTGTTGTCAGCATTAAGTTCGAAAAGCCTGAATCTCTGATAGTATGAAAGTGCTTTAGTGCCTTTGGAATTGGCATCTTTCAAATGTGGAAAGGTGCCATCAATGCAGACAGGTATATGCAGGTTTTAGAGCAACATATGCTCCCTCCCAGATGTTGCGTTTTACATGCAAGATCTTGCATATTTCAGCAAGGCAATGCTAAATCACATAATGCAGCTATTGCAACAGCATGGCTTTGTAATAGGAGAGTCCGGGTGATGAATTGGCCTGCCTGCAGCGCAGACCTTTCACCAACTGAAAACATCTGGTGTGTCATGAAATTGAATATACAACAAAGAAGAACCAGGACTGTTGAGCAGATGAAATCCTTTATCAGATAAGAATTGGACAACATTCTGTAAAGTGAGTGCTGATAATGCATAGTTTGTTGACCAGAGGGCAGCTTGCCTGTTGGCAATGTGTGTTTGAA